TTTTTGTCGCTACCGGCACCGGTTTTTTCGGCAAATGCTTCTAGCTAAACAAATTAAGATTGGCCGTCAGAACTGTTAGTAAACACCCCTTAAAATTTCATCTTTCTAGCTTTCCAGGCTCCTGAGTTAGCAACTTACCCGAAAAAAATTTAGCGGGCCCTTATGTGGTTACCACGCTTGCCGGGAGTCTGTGTTTGAACTCAATGAGACTTAGGTGAACGGAGAATATCCTACAGTCCTTTAGCTTTTCGAATTCCCGAATTATCGACATAGCCAGAAAAAGCTTTGGCGGACCCGTGCGAGGGTATCACGCACACCTGAGGGATGGGTTTGAACTCATTAACACCAACTTGGACGGGAAACATCCCCTTAAAATTTCAGCGTTCTAGCTTCTCAAATCCTCAAGTTATGAACTTACCTGAAAAAATTTTGGCAGGTCCGTATGCGGACACCACGCTTACCCCGGGGGCTAGGTTTGAGCTCATTAACACCAACTTGGACGGGAAACATTCCCTTATAATTTCAGCTTTCTAGCTTCTCAGATCGCCGAGTTAGCAACTTACCCGAAAGAAACTTTCATGGGCCCGTACGTAGGTACCACGCTTGCCCGTGGGTTGGGTTTGAGCTCATTAACACCAAATTAGACGGGGAACATCCCCTTAAGATTTCAGCATTCTAGCTTCTCAGATCCTCGAGTATGAACTTACCTGAAAAAAATTTTGGCGGACCCGTGTACGGGCACACCACGCTTACCCGGGGGCTGGGTTTGAGCTCATTAACACCTAGTTGGACGCGGAACATTCCCCTAAGATTTCAAAGTTCTAGCTTCTCAGATCCCCGAATTATGAACTTACGCGAAAAAAAATTTTGGCGGGCCCGTACGCGAGTACCATGCGAGTATTGGCGCCCATTTTGAGGATTGGGACACGTACGTGCATGTAGATTAAGTCTCCAAAGTTTCAGCGTTATAGCTTTTGTAGGTCTTGAGATGAAATGCGTGACAGATGCACACATAGACAATCCCTCGTCAGTATGCGTTTTTGCATTGCATAGCTGCAAAAAACGCATGAAAATAGCATTACTAGTTGGGGAGGGGGGACGAGGAGCGGGGAGAGCGGGGAGGGAAGGTGGTGGTTCCGGATACTTCTCGATTGTTCCTTGTCCTTTTGGTGTGG